TAACACTTCTAATCTTCGACATTTACGAAATGGTATATGGCTTAATTGTTTTCCAAGTGCCATAAAACTCTTTAAAAAACAAAATAAAGAAAGACAAAACAACAACAACAACAACAACAACAACAACAACAACAACAACAACAACAACCCAACATAAAAGCCACCAACACAAAAAAAAACATAACCTTGTTTCCCACGTTCTCCTTCATTCAACGAGATTGTCCTCCCCAGGCCAAGGTGGGTGAGGTGTGTACAGATGTAAGCACGTGCGACGATGGAGAATGCTGCCAGATTAGAGTCAATTCGGTTTGGCGTGCGAAAAATGGTGAGTCATGGGCTCAACTGACCTCGGGTATAACGGAATAACTATACCCTTATTTATAGGACCAGAAATAGCTCAGTGTAAGGTAGAGCTGGGCGAAGAAGCGATTCCGGAACCGATTCCCACGATGAATGTTACGAAAGAAAAGTTCCGACTCCTTTTTATGTAAACGAACGGTTTCCAGTTACTTTGATCATTAAAATCTTCTTTTGTTGTTAGAATTTGTTTTTGAAAAATAAAAGTTGATTCTTTGTAGTGTTCCGAAATCTAGGTTCTCCTAAATCCTGAAGATGTTAGGGCCCAACCAGGTAACCATCTGAAGAAGTCGAATCTTTAGAAAGTGAGTCATTGGGTTCGGAGTCGATTCCTACGATTCCTAGCTTTCAATAATCGGCAACGTGGCCGCCCAGCACTAGTATAAGGAGTTATATGAGAGAGTATAGAATGATCTAGTATGCTGACTCTCTGACTATACTGTTACCAACTTAAAAAAAACTAAACAACACCGATGATGTTTGTGGCGTGGGGTGGGTGGGCGGTCTCACACCTGTGTTTGTTCATTTTCTGTTCTCAAATTCTCAAGTATTCAAAACTTTTTTCGAACAAAGTACATCTTGAAAGGATTGCCCCCCCCCCCGGGCCCGGGGGGGGGGGGGGGGGGGGGACAAAACCTTAACCTAAATAAAAACCCAACCAAAAAAGCCCAAACCAAACCATCCCTTTTTGTCTGCAGGAACTTGTCAAAAGATTGTGAAGGCAGGGGAGACCTGCGACAACCAGGCACAGTGGCGTGGAGAGATGTGTGCTTGTGAGAAGGGATTCCTCTGTTACTCTAAGCCTCTTGGTAAGTTCGACTTTGTCGGGGCGTCGTGGTGAAATCATGCACTCGTCAAAATAATGAAGAAAATGAAACCCGCATCTTTCTACCTGTTGGGCAATTTTTTAAAAATCGATAAAATTTTTAAAATTTTACATTAAACCGTTTATCTACATTTAACTTTTACTTTTGCATTCTCTGTTTCCGTTAAGTGTCGAGGGGAGATGCAGTTTTTAAGGTATCCCAGCTTTCACATCCATTTAAAAATGTATCATTTCTGTTTGGAATTTACAGAAAAATGTTGATCAAACGCTTGAAAATTGTAAATTTACAATTTCCAACGACAATTAAGCTTTGTAAGTCATCAAACTTTGGCGGCCAAGTTTTCTCTAACTTTACCTTTGACACTATTATTATTATTATTATTATTATTATTATTATTATTATTATTATTATTATTATTATTATTATTACTATTATTATTATTATTACTATTATTATTATTATTATTATTATTATAATAATAATAATAATAATTATTATTATTATTATTATTATTGTTATTATCATTATCATTTTCATTATTATTATTATTATTATTATTATTATTATTATTATTATTATTATTATTATTATTATTATTATCATTGTTATTATAATTGCTGTAGTAGTAGTAGTAGTAGTAAAGATTGAGAATGAAAACGGTAATATAAGATTGTATGTGTTTATTCTACGCTATTTACCTATCATTTACATTTGGTTTAACAAAATCTCTACCTCCTGACTTCTTGACTAAACTATCCTGCATTGATATAATGTTCTGAACTTTTCCGTGTCATTGTTTCAATTCAGGGAACGCGAAGACAGCTGTGTGTGAGAAGCCAAGACCCGTGCAAAGCACGCCCTTACCCGTACAAAGACAACCCTTCCCTGTACAAAGACCTTTCCCTGTACAAGGCCTTCCCCCGCATCCCCCACCTCCTATGTGGTTTTGGTTTTGATTTAGGCAAGAGAGATAAACGTCACAGAGCCAGGCTCACGGTCAAGTCTGAGTGTGATTAATAATAATAATAATAATAATAATAATAATAATAATGATAATAATAATACATTGCATTTATATATCTCTCTCTCTCTCTCTCTCTCTCTCTCTCTCTCTCTCTCTCTCTCTCTCTCTCTCTCTCTCTCTCTCTCTCTCTCTCTCCCTCCCCCCCTCTCTCTCTCATGAGAGTAAAAGCTTTGAGCGCTTTACATCAATCACATGGTCCCTGAAAAGTAATAATTCCTGAAACTAAGACTCTAAGATACAGGCATGCCTAGAGGGGACTGAGATTGATGACTTCAGGCACAGCATAATGATGGACTGATTTATTGTTGCGTGCTGCGGTCTTGACAATTAATGTCACAGAAATAAGCCAAAAACTTCACAGATTCCAGATTTTTTAAAGTGTGTTTTTTTGTGTTTTTGTTTTGTTTTGTGTTATGTTCTTGTTTTTGTTTCATTGATCATTGATCCTTTTTTTCTGGATGGTATTGGTGGCGTTGCTAATCCAGTGGCTAGGTTTCCGGTCTCGTAACCGCGAGACTGCAGGTTGGGAGGTTTTAGGATTTACTCGGTCCTACGTTGAGGTTTCGGGAAAGGTAATTTACACAAATGTTCTCATTAAGCACAGTCCTATCGGAGGTGGACGTTAAATTCGGAGATCCATCCTCTTAAATAACCTTGATATGTTTGCAAAGGGCGGTCAACCTATCACTGAGCACATACTGCCCATCGACTTTGTCTTATTAAAGTCCGGGGCCTGTCAGATTTTCCTTCATGGAACGGACAAAAGCTACCCTTTTGGCACAATTCGACCGAATTCGACCCTGACCTTCAAAGCCAAACGCGTCTGAGTCGAACCAGTAGTATCTCACAAGAATGACAGCTTTAAATTTTGCCTCTTCCTGGATATAATTCGGCTGACCCCGACCTCATCCATTAAAATCGTTTGGCAGTGTGCACTGGGTATTAATAAAGCTATACGGTGTCCTTTAAAAAAAAATTTTTTAGATAGTATCAGAAAAACAAAAACAAACACAAAACCTACTTGGACACATCCTTGTCGTGTACACTGTGACGTCAGATCTCCTGATGAGTCGTCGGAACGAAACTGAAATAATCCTGGACGTTGGTGGAAAAATGGGGCCAGTTAATTTTCGAATTATCGTATGAGCTTCTTCGCCATATTTCTCTAAGTAAAGTATTGAAAGCTTTAGGCTATTATGTATTATAGTGATTAGCTTACACTACGAGGAGTCCAAAAGTAATGCAAGCTGTTCGTTATTTTGCACAATTTTGCATCAAATTAGATGAAATTCAGCTCACAAGTACTTGCACATGTACTTTTGAACCCAAATTGTTAAAATTTAAGTTTCTTTGATTTTTGCCCGAATGACGTAACATCAAAATGGCTGCCTGCCCCCTTGAGGGTCTGTCAGAGGCAAAGAACGGTGATTGACTTCTTTGTTTTAGAAGGAGAATACATCGGTAACATCCAAAAGAAACTTCAAAATGTTTACAAAGACCAAGCTCTAGATTTTGGCACTGTATATAGATGGGTTAGAAGTTTGAGCAATGAACCGGAGGAAAAGGAAGAGGTGCCCATGTGCTTGTCAGACAAGCATCGTCCCGAAGAATCAGCTGAAAAAAAGCACGGCAACCGTGTTTTGGGACATTCATAGAGTGCATCTCACAAATTTTTTTTTCACCAAAAGGAACAATTGTCAATTCTGAAGCCTACATTGAAACACTGAAACGACTGAAAGCGAGAATACGACAAGTCAGACCATATTTGAACGTGGAAAGAGTGATTTTTTTATTACAATGACAAAGCCCGCCTGCATACGAATACCAGAACAAGGGAGACAATCACCCCGTTTGAATGGAAAACACTCACATCCAGCTGATTTTTCAGAGTTGGCACCCTCAGACTTCCGCCTGTTTGATCCTCGAAAAGAGTCATTGAGGTCAACACTATGGAAACAATGGAGAAATAAAGATTGCTGTACACTTAACACGAACCTGCTCAGTTTTACAAAGGTGGCATATGTAGTCTTAGTAAAAGGTGGACAGTGGCTATTGAACAAAATGGAGACTATGTTGAGATAGAGAAATCTGATCCTCAAATGTTCCCCTTCAAATTGAGGTATGATAGTTGCCAGAGCGTTCTTCTTCCTTTAAGTTATAAACGAACTTGCATTACTTTTTGACTCTTTCTCGTACTTCAACTTTTCTTACTTGCTATTCACTGTTGTCTTTTTATTCAACTTGTTTTACATTCCTTATCTCTGTGTGTTAGTCAATCTGTCTGTCTCACCGTCTCTTTGTCTCCTTGTCTGTCTGTCTGTCTGTCTGTCTGTCTGTCTGTCTGTCTGTCTGTCTGTCTGTCTGTCTGTCTGTCTGTCTGTTTGATTGTCTGTCTGTCTGTTTGTCTGTGAAAAGCTGAACCTTACAACAAAAGACGTCCACCAAAGAGAACAGAAATGTTGTAATGACAACATCAAAGACTTCATCAAGAGAGAGAGAGAGAGGGAGAGAGAGAGAGGAGAGAGAGAGAGAGAGAGAGAGAGAGAGAGAGAGAGAGAGAGACAGAGAGAGAGAGAGAGACAGACAGACAGACAGACAGACAGACAGACAGACAGACAGAGACAGAGACAGCGAGACAGAGAGACAGAGAGACAGAGAGACAGAGTAAGAGAGACAGATAGACAGACAGATAGACATAGAGAG